GCTTAATACTTTCAAAATAACATCCACTAATTAAAATAAGTATTAAGCGTACATATACATATAAATCAGCAAAATATATATAATATTTATAAACAATTCAGAACGTTAGATATTATCAAACAAACCAAACCATCGTTATCAAAAATTTGTTTCACACTTTTAAAAATAGAAAATCTGAAAATAAAATAAAAGTTTACTTTACCAGTCACGTTCTGCCAATAGTCTGTGTGAAAAAACTGTGCCTGGAACTCAAAAAAGCCATTTTGGCAGGAGAAACATCCTCTATCTCGACAACAGTTACAGTTTTTTTGCTATCCCTAATAATAATAGGTAATAATTAAACATCAATAACATTATGGCTACGAAATAGATGCAAACCTGAATGAATACTTTATGATGTTCTTGAAAAAACTTTAATTGCAATTTTATAAAATAAATGTAACTCAATTTACATCATAAAAGCAATATGTATACGAGTTAATCAAATACCCAAAATTCCACATAAAATATTTAGAAATATCATACTCAATGTCTCAGCCTTGGTGAGACACTAGGAGTGCATGTACGTACTGACAAAAATGGTTCATTTTATCAAATCAAAATTTAAGTAAATTTCATCAAGAACACCCTATGTAAAAATTGATTTCAAAATTTTTTCTACCTGGTACGAAGAAATGGCATAATAATTCCCGCTCCTGTTGCCACCAATAGCAGAACAACTTGTAGAACGGTAAGCAGAACATTTATTAATTTTACAACAAGAGCTCTTGCATTCGAGTTGTCCAGTCCCTCCAAGGAGACATACTGCTGTTGTTGAGCAGCCTGGTGTTCCATCTTTTGAATCTATAACAAACAAGAAAATGATGGAGGAGCGGAATAAAAATTACAAATTCTTTACTTATCAAACATAAATCCTGCGAATAAGGAGATCTCACTGATTGCGGGTTTGGTTTGAGATTGTTATGGAAAGTTTTGAATAAGTTAAAATACGTTATAGAATCAAATTAAGTGCAGTAAATATTACAATTCTGTCTTAAAGTAATGATTTAATAAAATAAAATACCTTTGTCTGGCAATGTTCGAGCATTTCATGCACGTCCCTTAGTCTTTCTTCGCTTTGGTACTGAACTTTCTCTTCCATGTCCGCCATGGCCTGTTTTAGATTTTCCACTTCGTTCTGGTGCAGCTCTGTTAAATCGTTGATCTGCTCTTCTAACCGATCCGTTTTAAACCGCTCTTCCTTTAAAATGAACAAAAAAAAAACAGTTAATACCTAATGAAATTTTATGAGCTTCCTCTTTAAATTTTGAACTAGGAATTTTTTTTCAATATCTCATTTTCTATTATAAGACGAAACGACAACAATACTTTTAAGTGTATATGTTGTAGTTACGTATACATTCATACTTATGCATATTTGTATTCACAAGAACCGCTTTTAAATTCAAACAGCTTAACAATCTTTGAAGATTTGCCTTAAAAATTTAGGTGCTTATGTGTTCAGGCATTGTGGAAGTAAGCTACTACTTATATAACATTACAAGTACTTAAGTAAATTTAAGTAATTGTTATATTAACCCTACAAATACGATAGTGAATAAAATAAAATAATACGATTTTGTCACAAGCTCCCGATCTTCCTTAGCAAGGAGATCCTACACAGATTATAAGTAAGGGTCCTCTAAAAAGACAATCCCACCATTGTGGCGCTCCTAAGAAATGCATGACTTTGCCCCCACCTCTTAAGGTTGACACTGATCTTACTATAGATCTTTTAATAATAAAATTTTATATAAGTAGAATTATTTTTATTTAACTTATAACGGGATGTATGCAGTTATTATTAAGTTGATTCGTATTATATTTACCTGTAACGACGCGTTCAAATATTGTATTTCCTGTTGAAGAGACTTGCTCGTTTCCGCTTTTTCCCGTAATCTTTCCACCTCTTCCTGAAGGGACTGAATTTGAGCAAATATCGCTTTGTAACTAAACGTTGTTGCTCCCTTTGATCCACTGTCTTGAGCTCTGCTATGATACCTGAAAAATTTTATATTTTTCAATTTGTTTCTTAGACACACTATATGACTTACACTGTCTTTAATACATTTTTTTTTTTATAGAACTGATATAATAGTAAAATATTTTTTTTTGAATGTAATTCGAATTAATTCATTGCTTATTTCAATAATCCAAATTTTGTAAAAATTCAAATGAAATAATTATTCAATACCTCGCTTGCAAGCAATTAAGACTTTGTTAAGTCTTAAATCTAGTGGAAAAAAGGGTGTACGGTGTCAAAGAAATTATCAATATTCATTTCATTACCTGATTGGGAGATTATAATTAAAATTAGATCTTGTCTATTTAATTAAAACCTTCTTTTTTGCCAATCAAGGATCATTTATTTTTAGTTTACTTCACTCACGTCTTCTTTTGTGTACAGCTGGACACCTCAAAATCTTTGATGTACGTGTATATACATATAATTATATGAGCATATCAATGTCATTAGTAAAAAAAAAAAAAAACGGACCACAAAAAAGTATTAGCAAGGCATAGAAAATGTACTTGATATTGAGTGACATTATTTTGTATATGAGTATTAAATAACGTTTAATTAAGCAGTAGCCATAATGTTATTTTCAATTATTTTGTTGTTTCATGATCATGAAAGTAAAATGACTTTCTCTGAAAAAGATACTTTCAAAATAACATCCACTAATTAAAATAAGTATTAAGCGTACATATACATATAAATCAGCAAAATATATATAATATTTATAAACAATTCAGAACGTTAGATATTATCAAACAAACCAAACCATCGTTATCAAAAATTTGTTTCACACTTTTAAAAATAGAAAATCTGAAAATAAAATAAAAGTTTACTTTACCAGTCACGTTCTGCCAATAGTCTGTGTGAAAAAACTGTGCCTGGAACTCAAAAAAGCCATTTTGGNTATACGCGGTAACAAAAAAGAAAACATGTTGCATCTTATCTAGTACCTACTAAAAGATGAGGTTAAAGGTTATTTTTATTTATCAATGGAAAATTTAAGAAGTATAACGAATCGTATCCTTATTTATTTTCTAAAATGGAGATACGATGATAATCGTTATTGCAAAAATTGCTTCTCTTGCGTCTTTACTTTTTAAGTGTACGTCAATGTGGGTACAAATAAAATTGTAACTTGTTGAATTTCAATAACTGAACAAGTTTTAATTCTATTTAATGACCAGGGTAGTTACTTGTTACTTTGTTGCAGTTGTGCTTTTATCAGTAATCGATTGTAATTGATCAATTTAATTCAAAAACTCTTCAGATTCATTAAAAGCGTTGACGTTGAAAGTTATATATCATTATTCTTTCTGATTTCTTGTGGTGGTGACATCCATTCTAATTGAAATAAGTGTAGTGGTTTCATTATTTCACTTAGTCTATGTATATGTATTTTTACATGCCTTACATTTTAAAAATCCTAACTCACTGACTCATCAACGCGTAGACTAAACTCTTGAGCCTATCTGGCTATCTAGATGAAATTTTGCACAAAGGTTTCCTTTATAATGTATACAAGGAATAAGCAAAGTTTGTATAGAAACGGTTTCGCTCATCAAATCGAGCTGCTTACAACTTTTAATATCATATAATGATCAGGGGTGGCTAACCCAAATGGTCTTGCAGGCTACTATTCACAAGAATATTGTTTTAAAATCAAAGTTTATTTTTTTTCTCATAATATCTACAGTCAATTTTTGAATGTACGAATGTGCAAATAATTTATTCTTTTATTACATTGGTTTTCACTGTTTTGGCCATTATAATGTAAATATATTTTGTAAATCTGTGAAAAATGTACAAAGTGGGCCAGGGGTTGACCACCCCATTAAGAATGTAAGTACTATAATTTTGTGAAGCCAAGATCGTCTTTTTATATTGCAAATTAGCGTTTTGGTATTCTGATGGTACCTAAGACTATTGCAATTCGTGAAGTAGTTCTTTACAAATCCATTAAGAGCAAGATTACTAAGAGAGAATTATTTAATTCGAAAGTAACTTTAATTGAATTGTATTAAGTGAAATTACCTGCTGAAATAAAGCCTTTTGCCATAGCTTGTGCCATTTTTCCACCTCCTATAAATCCAATTTTCAACAATTTACTAGTCATTTTAACAAAAATCACAAACCACCACGTAACTTATAGTATGTTTTTCTCTTAACAAGAGAAAAGGTATATAATCACAGCCACTGTTTACAAACACCAGAATTATTATTTCAGAAGTTAAATGGTTTCTTATCTCTATAAAACTGCTCGTAATGGAAACGCCGATGTGTGCTAAATACGTCAATTTAAGTTATACATATAGAATTGTAGCTAATAATCATTTAGATTTTTGTGTTCAAAATGATTATATCATCTGTGCATAAGCAACTTACTGACCCTTGTATCTTCATTCTGAATATATGTAAATAAAATTCCAAATAATGTTTGTAAGCCGCACTGTGTGTATGTATTAGAATGACTTATCAGTAAAAACAAGTATTTTTATATGAAATATACGCATGTATTAGTGCTTTTATAAAAGTTAATGGAATCGATTACGCTTATTTTCCCATTGTAACGAAGTACATAAACTGCATGCCAATATAATAGAAACGATAAAGGCTAAGTCGTAAAACGAACAATTAAGAGTAATAAAATGCTTCATTAAATGCCTTTTTTGACACATTCGTTATTATAAGCGCCCGCACTGTGAATAAATGCTTTTTATATGATTAGAAAGCAATTGATAAATATGTTAATTACCAACGTTAAAATTCTTTATGTTTTAATTTTATATGTATTAGGTTTCTACAAAGGGTCTGTCAATAAATTAATTATGCAGGGAGGTGAGAGTGGAGAGTCCAGCTGGGCAATACGGTCTTGCTAGGTGGGGGTGGAAGGGGGTTAAGGATTGCGTTACGTTACGTTTTTAAAATTTATTTAAAATCGAACTATTATTAGGACTTAAAAAGCTCTTATTTTAATTAAAGCCTTTACCATGAACGCGTCATGCAACATAAGTTATGGACAGCCACAAAGATGTATGTAATCGAATTAATAATATTTCAAACGTCGCGTAACGTCACGTTTCATTGGTCTTCTTCGCTTTCGTCGTCATATATTATCAGACTTGATAGTTGTCCCCATACCTCCTTTGTATTCGTATTTTATAGGCGTTGTTCACCTCGTCGTGCTGATTAAATATATGCGTTGGGTTCAGAAACAATTCCTTCCGCTATTTTTGGGTAGTTGAAAAAAGCAAGTCAAATTACCAAACCAAATACATTCGAATTAAACAAAAACAAGGACTTTTTGTGTTCTATATTACTGAACAGTGCAGCTACACGATTTCCAGTCATGTTTACTGGACATTAACAGCAGTTCAAATTGCCTTTCGTTTTTAGTTCTTTTCTGTCCCTGACGATGGTAACCTAACTACCACAAACTACTTCGGACGTTTAGTATTGTTACAGTATAAAGATCTATACAGTAGTCACTCTCAAGTCACCTGGACGCCTTTCCTGCCGACGCTTCACCACTTAATCATAGAGTTTCCCGCTAAGCAGGAGCTGGCTTGTAGAAGTCACAGTACAAATACATTTTGTACCTAAACACTTCGGTAAAGCTATTGAACCGTCATCGTATATGGCAGTTCAACGCTTTTAACGTTAATTTATGACGCCATACAAAAATATCTGTATTTTAGGCAGGTCAGAGGAGTGACCCTACTGTATAGATCTTTATAGTGTTGTATCGCGTTTTGGCGTTAGAGCTTTAGCTATTTAGGGTGTTCTA